GAATGTCAGCAAGGATTACTCGAATCTGCTGCTAACTTTACTTACGTGAAAAATGTACCGATTTTTTAAAATAAAATTTTTCTAATTGTAATAAATTTTTTTGAAGAAAATTTACGAGATACATATTCGAAAGTGGAAGAACTTTTTGACTAATTTATATACATCTCAGTTGTATTTTAAAAATCTATTGTTCGTCGTTTTTTATATACTATGTTTCTATAATAATGTGCTTGTGTCGCCACCATTATATCTTCTTAGTTATTCGTCGGTATATAATCAGATGATTCAAAAGAATAGCAGAAAGAAAGATAAGAGAAAAAATCAAACCAATCGCGTAATCAATTCAAACCAAAGAAAAAAGAAGTATAAGTTGGTTGTTACAACCATACCTTTTATTTTGTATTAAGCTTTCTACTTTCCTAAACTTTTCTTAGATTCAACAAATAAACAAAATAACCTTATTGATGGTGTGTATCCTTGACTATATAAATACTGTCTTACTAAATACAATTTCATTTTTATTTGTAATTACTATTTGGTATTCGTTGGAGTATTCAGCCAATAGCATCAAATACTCATACAACGACTGATATATTAATACAAGAACTTGATATATGCTTTTCTTGGTTTAGTAACAAAGATTGATACCGATTTATTACAATTCTAAATATTTGTTCATGCATTATTAATATTATCGATAGAAAAATCTTTAGTATCAAGGTAAAATTTATTTTTTTTAAGAAAAAACTAGTAATTTTGAATAAATTATTTTTAGATTATTTCATACTAAATGTTTTCTCTTCGAATAGATGAATTGATTGAAGTGTCATAATTATCATTTTACGTCATCGAATATTTCTATATTTTTAACGAATTTTTCAAAGATATATTCGATATCGTGGGTCTTTATCAACTATTTCCAGAAAAGAAGGAGAAGTCGTATAAGTAGAGCGAAGAACTTCATTATCTGACACTGATGATAGAATAAACCGAATGTTTTTTGTGAAATTCAAAATTTTTAAACAATTCTACAAAGGTGAATGTCGCTGTGCTAACGTATTACTGTAATGATATTTGTCCTCTTGCTATTATTTCTTCATATTTTATGTATTACCCTTATTTTTTTGTCGTTCTTTCATACGTCGTATGATATTTTGCCCTTATCATTCCTTTGTGATGGATGAGTATATACGCGTGTGTTTTGTATGAAAACGATGCAATTCCAGATAAGGAGAAATTTCATAAAGTGTTATAAAATCAGATGTTGTCACAATTATATATATCTTTATCGTTGAAAAGACGTATTTACTAACTTTGTGTCCAATATGAAAGTTATTAAAATGCTCCATTAATATTATCAAAATATAGTTTTATTCAAGAGACATAATAGAAAATCGTGAGTATTCTAACGTTCCGGAAGCTGTAATTTCGAGGTACTTCTTGGACACCTTAATTAAGTTTAAAATGCTTTCTAGATGCTTCAAGCCACTTTGAAGTACTTCGATGTACATTTGGACTTGAAATTGCTCCTCTGTAAAATCATTGTATAACAACATATAAAGAAAGGAAAGATATCACATAAGATGATTTCTTCATAGGTATAGTGGGTTCGCTTTTTTTCCTTGAACAAATATATTAGAACACTTTTAATTTCCTATCCAAAATCAATGAAATCATAATTTAAGAAAGATAATTTTATCTTTTATTTTAGAAAATTAATATAAATTAGATTTCAAAATAAAAACAACCCGCAATGGTGGGCATTTCACAACGTAAAGCTGCATTAATCGCAGGATTTTCAATTTTAATTATGGCAATTCTTGCAGGATTTGCCTATGGTTTTGTTCTTCAAGATCTTATTGTACCGGATAATACAACTTTAACAGCTGATAATATTAGATCTTCTCTGATGTTATTTCGTCTTGGCATTTTCAGCTTTCTTATCATACTTATCTGTGATGTATTGGCGGCTTGGGCACTTCATGTTTTTCTTAAACAAGTAAACGAACATCTTTCTTTGCTTACTGCTTGGTTCCGACTTATCTATTCAGCAATTTTGGGGACTGCCTTACTAAATCTAGTTTTTGTTGCGTTATTATTAAATGGTGCAAATTACTTGTCTATTTTTGAAATAAGTCAATTAAATGCCTTGGTAACATTCTTTTTGAATGGTTTTCATAATATTTGGTCTATTGGATTAGTTATTTTTGGATGTCATCTTTACGTTCTTGGTTATTTAGTTTTAAAATCTAGATATATTCCCAAAATACTTGGTTTTTTGTTAATCATTGCTTCTTTGTGTTATATCATCAATAATTCGGCTAATTTACTACTATCCAATTACGAAAAATATAAATTAACAGTTGAAGTATTTATTGGCTTACCTATGATTTGTTCAGAAACTGGACTTGGTGCATGGCTTTTATACGGAGGTGGTATAGGACCTGAAGATTAAAGGTGATCCAAACAAAAAAAAATGGACTAATTGTAAATCTACTCTTTGCTTTTTAGCAATTAAATTTCGTTGAAATAAATAAAATTGATTAAGACAATTTCTAAAGTTTATGAATAAAGTGGGCGTGGGTGCCTCTTCTCTTAAGCTCCATCGACGTTGATATTTATTCTCTGATATTAATAAAGAACACTTTGATACTTTGCCAGTAATATCAATTTCTCACTTTTCACCTGAAGATAGTGCCCCTTTTTGGAAGCTGATCTATTATTGTTCTAGTTTTTCCTTGTCTTTTCGTAAATCTACTTGAAAAACTTCCATTTTTATCACGTTTACTAGGAAAATCATACATCAACATTGATGCAACGAAAAATTCAACGTGAAGGTATATAAATATCTATACGCACTGTCAACAAATTTTCCAGTGATTTATATTCACTTGTTATAGTGAGACAAATGACTATTTTGTAAAAGCTATCAAAAAATCAGTGTTTAATATTGTACCATCAATATATTTACAAGACACGTATTTTAAGCATGCACAATACTTCGATGAACCATTTAGTATTGTGACAATGTAAAATAAAATTTTAATCATATCGACAAATCAAATAAATTGTAGTATTATATAGTGTATTTAAAACTTGAATTGATATTTTTATGAATCATACTACACACAAAATATAAAAAAGAAGAAAACTTTCATCGACATTATTGTTTGTTTCGACTGACATCATGGAAACAGTGCTGCTTTCTCTTCATCGTGATAGTACATTTTTTTTCATCATTTAATTGGAATATAGGTTTTTTAATCAACGATATACTTTGCCATATTCTTAATTAAGAAGAAGCACAGTCTGTTTACAAACTGTTTGTTTCTATAGTTTCTTTGCAAAAAAAAATGAACATACTTTTTGAATAAACTTTTATTTTATCTCATAGAACTGAAGAAAAAAGAAAAAGAAAGAAAGAACGTAAACATTTTATTTATTTATTTTTTGGCTCAAAACACTTTAGTTTCAGCTTGTTTAATATTCTTCATCTTTGTTTCACGATATAGCAGAACAGCTCAAAATATATGCATCTTTCTGTTCCAGTTGCATATAAACAAAGAAAAAAAAACGTTGATGACTAGTTTTGACAAAAAAGAAAAACGAGAATAACGATTATTTTATTTCATCACATTAACAAAATGAAAAAAAAGTTGGTATGTTAAACGAGAGAAATAAATAGAAGGTAATATATTGTTATATTGCTGCATTGTGACTCGCTCAGAGTTGCATTTATTTCCTTAGATTAAAAGTTTCTTCGTAATGGATCGAAGAGGAATTTGTCATTTGCTTTTGTCTATGTTTATTTTCCAATCAGTCGCACAAGATATGCGATCGGTTAAACTGTCTTTATTGACTGGTTGGCAATTTCAATGTTTTAATACAAGTTGTTTACCTTTCGTCACTATGATAGTAAAAAATGTTCGAAAGTGTCAAATGGCATGTTTAAGTGAGATTTATTGTAAAGCAGCCACTTTTCATCAATCTACTTCTAATTGTGAATTGTTTGTCAATCTACCAGATCCAAATGGAAACATGCTGGCCAATATAGATACTATTAGTATAATTAACAAGAATGGGACAAGATTTCCACCTGGTCAGTATGAATATAAGTATATGTAAAAAAACAAATCATATTAACAATGTAAACAAAAACGTGTTCGAGTAGCAAATGAAATCTTTCCTTTCTTCTTCTAATCAATGACTTGAACTCTAAAATCTTGAGAATATAGATGTGATTGAACGATAGAACAACAATCTCATTCACCCTAAAAATCCCATTCAATATTCTTCCTTTATTCTTATCTTATTTTTTTTAAACAGAACCAACCACAACAAGCACAACAACTACAACTACCACATCAACAACAACAACAAGTAGAACTACAACAACAACAAGCACAACAACTACAACTACCACATCGACAACAACAACAAGTACTACTACAACAACAACAAGCACAACAACAACAACCTCAAAAACAACCACAACCACAACAACAACTACAGCAACAACAACACCAACTACACCACCGACAACACTAAAACCAACTACACTATTGCCTTGTGATGCTTGTATAGTTAATGTTGCTCTTCACAGTAGTAGCGGTGCTAATAGTGCTTATAGTTGCTCTTATGCTTGTAGTGGTAATGACGGCCGTCATGATGATTATGTCGGTTATTATAATTCTTATGGCTTTGCGTTTGCTTCTGGTGCATATGGTGCTCCGAATGGTTTTACTTGTACTCTTGCAACTAGTCCTAATGGTTGTAGTTATTTTCATTATGGTGCCGGTTTTTCTACTTATAGTGGTGGTGGCGTTCCTGCGCCTCCTACATGTAGTAATAATAATGCTAATTATTGTTGTTGTCATGCAAATTAATAAGATCGCAGTGCCGGATCATAGTAGTCATAGACTACAGATCTGTGATAGATCTTCAACTAGTTTATGCTTTTCTTGTTCTCTGTTTTATCTGTGTACTTTTCCTTATTATCTATATTTTTCTTTTTTTTGTTTATATCGCTCTCTTCATGGTTTATGTAGCTAGAACTTTACTTTTTCGTTCTTTCATTATGATATCAATGTGTTTTCTGATATTCGAGCGCATTTTTTCTCTTCAAAGTTATAAACCTTGCTTTTACTTATCTTTACCAACCGTTGTTCTTAAATGATAATACGTTCCAAAGTGCTAGAAATCTATTTTTATCGAAATTAGACAGCTTGCTGTATTTCACATGATACGCAACTCAATTTAATTATCAATGTTTTCTCTATGTTGTATGTTTTAAAAAGAAGCGAGATGCTAAGTTTTAGTTGTATTATCTGTCATATTGAGGCCCTTTTATCGTTCTATTGCATAATATAAATATATGCGAGAAAATAGTTCAATTGTCTTCTTTCACATCAAAATCATAGTGCTACTATATCTATTTGCACCATCTTGAGAGTGGGTGCGGGTATTGGTGTGAGACAAATCTAATATCTATAATCACACCAACACTCACATTCTGATAAGACAGATTTTCTAAATAAGTTTATATGTGGAATTTCTATGAAAGACTCTAAATTAATATAGAAGAAAAGCAGATTAAACAATTGTATATAGAAAATATGAAATCAAGAAATAACATGTCTATCTTAAGTTACAAGTTGTTTTCATATTGTATTTTGTAACATTTTACGACCCCATTCAATAATTGTCTGAATGGTCGGTGTTGTACCAACAGTAGTACCAATATCTAATCCATATGCTTGCCATTGTTGTAGATTAAGACGTGTACTAGAACCATTAACATTACAAATAAATGCTACTTGTGTACCTGCTGGAATGTAGATTTTATTCGATACTAAATAAGGAACAAAAAGATTAGCTGTATTACAGTTCTCAATATTATATGGTACAGAACTATTGTAGAGAATACAAGTATTCTGAATCCAAATTTCATTCCATCCACTTGATCCACGTGTAGGATTATAATCATTGAGACAATTGTTACTACCAAATCCACCGGTACTTAAATCTGAATATACATAAATCTGATCATGATCTATTTTTGAATGACCTAAATAATTTTTTTTGCCACCATAAACTAGAAAATTATGGCTATCTTCATAGAAACAACTACCATCATCATGATCGATTGGCCATACAGAACGATAATTATTAAAAAGAACATTATGATGAATATAACTTGTATGTTGCCAAAGTGAAGGAGAACCTTGTTGTACAGCATCAGTTAAGAATGGTTGTCGATCCCATGAATTAATTGGACCATGATCACTTGTTTCGCGTACAGTATTAAATATAACATTATAATTAATACTATGATTACCATAGAAACCATCATTGATATTAATACCTGCTCGTGGCATATTAAATATAAGATTTCCAATAACCGATACACTTCGACTTATCGAAATTAATATTGGTGCTGATTGTTTAACATAAATACCAATTTCATGAATAAGATTTGATTGTATAAGTGTATTCATTGGTTGATTTGCCACACTAAAACCATCAATTCCATTTGTACTACCAACAAGAATAATTGCAGAATCACCTAACCATACAAATTCATTCGATAAAATTGAAGTATCATCATTATAATCAATCAATGCCATACCATTACTACCTAATTGATTGAATAAATTATGTGTAATTGTAATATTTTTTGTATTTGTCGAATATATAGTACCACCTCGATGAACAGACCAATCACCACCACTTGGTACCATAAAATCTTTCATATAAGTATTACTTGTTTCTGTAAAAATTAAACCTTGAATTAATACATTTTCAACAGGATTATTTCTATGACTTCCACTTATTGAAATAATACATGAAATTTGACTAGCTACAAAATCTGTTGGCATAGTTTCATTTGGCATAAAATAAAGAGCACGAGTTTGTTTATCTAAAAACCATTCATTTGGTGAATCGAGTTCTTCAAAAATATTTGCAACATAAAACGCACCTCCACTATCAGAACCACGTGCTTCTTGGAAACCACCTCGACCAAACATGATCGTATTTTGTGTACTATTACTTGATGCTATTTCAAATATCCAACCACCCCAATAACCAGAATGAAAAGTATGTACAAAACCAGTTGTAGGATCACTCCAATTACGCATATGAGGTAATGCATCATTCTTTACAACAAGACCACGAGGAACAACATAATTATTGCCAGCAGGTGGTGAAGCAGTACTCCAAAAATTAGTTGGTGGATTAAAAACAGAAGCACCACCACCAACACCAAGTTGATAATTAGGAAATACGGTACCATTTCGATAAGGTTCTTGTATATGAATTTCTACACTTGGATTATGAATTGGTGATATCCAACTTTGTGAATCATAAGAAAAGCCAGGATCTTTAGCATATAAACCTTGAGTCGCAGGATCACCATTTGGATATTTAGCAACGATTGCTCGTTTATTATCGATATATAATTCATTAAATTGATCAAGATTAATTGACGATGGTATTTGAGCTTTCATAATTGTTCCACCAGTTAATGTTTTAGCATGAACAGACCATTTTAATTCTAGTAATGCACCACCACTCAATATAACACGTTCATTTTCATAATTTTCAATAATAAGATTACTATCATTACTTGTTAATGCAATAGCACCTATTTGACTACTTGTTGAAGTAGCATTTGTTCCAAGATAATAAGTTCCACCACGTATAATAATACATAATATATTTTCATTACCATATCCAGTACGTAGAATACGTGTTAATGATAATGCTGCTTGTATAGTTTTTTTTGGTTGTTCGAATGTTCCATCAAATAAATCATTACCTTTTATATCATGTACAAATATTTTATGATAACAAGTTTGTTGGTTTGTATTGAATGCTTTATGATGATGATTAGATGGTTGATAAGTAGAATATAAAGTATTATTGCATTGATTCATTTGAAAAGCACTTTGAGCAAGTGTTGTCCAGTTCGTTTTTACAGCTGGAGGTGCAATATATGCAGCCATTTCAATAGTAAATGCTCGAAGTGCACAATCATATTCAGGTGATATATTTGGATTACCAACTGTACTATAAAGTGAATGATATGAGTCAGCTGAATATTTAAATGTACAATTCGTATATGAGAAACAAGTAAGAATGATTCCTATTAATACGACAAGACGAAGATTCATCTTAAGTTTTTTTTTAGTTCTATTGAAGTATATATATATATATTCTCTTTGTTTTATACTTAACCTCCGACGAGGTATTCGTTTATATAAGATAACGTCTCATACTATGAAGTTGGCAAAGATAATGTAAAATTTATTACTGTTCTGTTTCTCTGATTAATAAGCACATGTTTGTAGATATATATAGACTTTAATGATAAATTTAAAATTTTTTATAATAAAATAAAAATGACGATAATAAATTCTAATTGATTACTAGATGTATTTCGATGTATGATCATTTCTTTGTATAAATTATTATAAATAAATACAAAATACCAGATAGTGATTACATAATTAATTATATTATACATCAAACTACAGTATCCCTTATGTTAGTATCTTTATTACTATTGGACATAACAATTATCTATAACAGACAGGTCTCTGTAGTTTGAAGAAACAAAAATTTGTTTATTTGTGGTTTGTATTATTTTGTTTTGTCTTTTATTTAATAATAATAAATATTCATTCGTTCTATTCTTGATAAATAAACATCAACATACATTTTATCTACAATAAGATTTTTGTATCAGAAATTTTATATTTAAAATAAAAAAGCATAAATATGAATATATTTTATTCTATCGTAGTTATAGCATTCGATTGAATAACGCACCGCCCATCTCTGCTTTGTTTGTTGACTTTTATAATTAATCGAAATGTGAATCGATTCAGAGACAAGAAAATATCGCAACGAATAAAACTTGTACATCGTATGTTCGTTGAACCTAACAACTGATGTCATTGTTATCGCTAGAGAAGTTGATACTACTATATAGCATAATAGTAATAGTTCATGGAATGAAACTAAGACAAGAAGATTAATATACAAAAAATTGTAATAATCTTAATTCATATGATAATTTTAAACATCATTGCGGTGTTTATTTTGTACATCCTTAATGTGTGATTTATGGGGTATATACGTTTGTCAATTTATTTTTTATATATGCCTACGTCATCTGAAACGGTAATGTGCAGTCGTGTACTAGCGAAGGAAAGAGAAAGAAATGTGCACAAAAATACGCTGATCATTATCACCATCGACGTGTACTAAGAAATATGCATCGTCATTATGGACGATGCACAGAACACAAGAAAAAGAAAAAGAAAGTTTTGTATATCGTTGTTGAAGAGTATAAGAAGCTTCATTATTATACTTTACGAAGCTCGACATGTCGTCGTTTAAATCACCATTGAAACTTGGTCCGTTGGAATTAAAAAATCGTGTTATTATGGCATCATTAACACGTGATAGAAATCTTGTGCCTGGTGAACTTCAAGTAAAATATTATACACAACGAGCTGGTGCAGGTCTTATTCTTACTGAAGGTACACTTATCGAACAACTTGGATCAGAATGGAGCGAAGCACGTATTTATTTATTTTATATTTATATACTTGTTTTTTATCTTCTTTTTCGTACTTAGCTGGTATCTATACAGATGAACAAGTAGCTGGCTGGAAGAAAGTTGTCGATAGTGTTCATGATCATAATGGTCTTATATTTTGTCAATTATGGCATATTGGACGAGTAGCTCATCCACTTCTTCAAAATGGTCGATCTAATGTTGGACCATCAGCAATCGCTGCTAAAGGTGGTAAATTTCGACAATTAGAAGGTAAACCTGGTTATGTTACACCAGAAGCTATTGATGATCCAGAACATTATATTGCTTTGTATAAACGAGCTGCAGAACGTGCAAAAGAAGCTGGATTTGATGGTGTTGAATTACACAGGTAAGCAACTCTTTATTTATTTATTTCATTCGAAAAAAATATTTTAATTAACAAGTGCAAATGGTTATTTATCTCATCAATTTATTGATAATACATCAAATCATCGAACAGATCAATGGGGTGGATCAATAGAAAATCGATGTCGTTTTCCTTTACGTATTATTGATGAAATTTGTGGTGTTTATGGAAATGATCGTGTTGGCATCAAATTATCACCAGGTGGTGGTTACAATGATATGGGCATGTCTCCCAAAGATACAAATGAGACTTATGCATATATAATCAAAGAAGTCAACGCCAGACAAATTGCTTACATACAAATAACACGTTATTGGGCTTTAGGAGATCCAGTAAAGCGTGGAGCTGATGTTGATATATTCCAATGGAGGGGTTTAATTGATTCGAAACATACAAAGTTTTTTGTCAATGCAGACTATGATTATGAACAAGGTGCAAAAGTCTTAGAAGCTAATCTAGCTGATGCAGTTGTATTCGGGCGATTGTATATTTCAAATCCAGATTTAGCTGAACGTTTGATCAATAATCAAAAATTAAATACAAATTTTGATTTCAAAACATTCTACGGTGGCAATGAAAAAGGATATACTGATTATCCAACATATAAACAATAAATCTTATTTTACAAACGATTTTATATCAGTATTATTTACTTTCTTCTTCTTCTTCTTCTTCTTTCTGTACTTTGCAAGGTATGAATGTGAATGACAGCATACTTATCTCATTCATAGTTTCTTTCTCAACCACACTCACAAAATTATTATTTAGTTAACAAGAGCATTAAATTAAAAAAAAATAAAATGAACATATCATTTCAGATAGATTTCATAAAAATGTCAATATTGATTGTTGGTTTAGAATCACTCACTATTTAGAGAAACAATAAGAGATTTGGAAAATTAAGAGTTACAAATAATTTCTACGGATTTTTTAATATAATTATAGAGATTTAGAAGAAAAATCATCTTTCACTTGTGTTGGTTACATCTGAATATGAAATCAAGACATTGAGGGATAGATCTTTCCATTAGTGAAAGGATTACAATCTCTTTTTGAATAGAAGTCAACTCAGTATTAATCGTCTATTCTCTACGTATAGTAATACGACATTCGAAAAGTCAACGTGTAGTGAACTTTTGGTGTAAGAAAAAGCCATTTTAACAAATATATTTCAATTAAATTGTAACGACAAAATAGTTATTGTTTATCGATTGAAGTAGATAGAAAAGTTTAGGATAAGTAATTAGTTAATGAGTTTGGTTGTAGTGACGGTCTATGCTTATAGTTGACTGTTATATTCATCACGATTAATATCTTGATTTGAAGCGAACGATTGCTCTTGAATAAGAATACTATCATTAGTAATAGAATCATTATGTTTGTGTTGATCATACTCCTGCAAATTTAAGTTAGAACTTGAGATTTTCAAATCATTATTAGTAAGCTTAGATTGATTGCTGCTATTATTATTACTACTAATTTGATTATTTTTACCGAATTTCAATTTCCATTTACGGATGAGTAAAAGTATAACTGGTAAAACTACCAATTTAAATATAACAAATACGAAAGTGAACGATCCAACAGCTGTTGTTGTAAATAGAAAACTATGATAAATCATTATAGGTAATCGAGCGATTGGTGATTGTTCATTTAATATATAGTAAGATGTTTCACTAATGATTATTGTCAAATTTGTTGATGTTCCAGCTGGTGCATTCAAATAATCACTGTCTGCAAAAAAAGATTCATAGTAATTTACTATAAATGAACTAATCCAAAGACCACTTAATATATCATCATCATCAGTAACAAGTGGACTTGTATCATTAATTACTTTCGTCAAAGAGAGAGCGATATTTGCATCTTGTCCTAGCATACGTCCACTTTGACTAAATGTTTGAGAAAAGTTTAAAGCTTGGAGTGTTACTGTAGAAGATTGAACTTGACCAGGTGCACTAAGACCAATGCGTACTCCACCAATTGTATATATATTAGGTAAATTAAATCGTATAGTAATATCTCGAAATGGTAAAAGAGCACTATATGAAACTATATAGTTTGAATAATTACATGTGAGACCTGTCGTGATCGGTATCCATGTTGTACCTTTAAGATAAGTCAATGTAACTGTATCTGATGTACAATTATAGACTGTATTAATAAAAGCGACATTGAGATTAACTGATTGATTGTTTAATAAGTCAACTATTGTCTGAATGGTACTTGAGATTGGTACCGACAACGATTGTAAACCTGAAGAAAATAATGCATTACGTATAGTTGTATCACATGTGTATGTCGATGGTCCAGCTGTTTCAATTGGATATGAATTATAATATTTAGCACTGAATACATAACAAGAAATAATAAGTACTAAAACACAAAATGTAGCAAGACCTCCAACCCACATTTCACCTGCGCCAATAAAATCTGTTTGTTTAAATATGGTCTCTAATATATTATATTTATCTGCTACTTTTGGATTTTTAATGCAATGTTTCATTGCAAGCATTGTACTACCAATGAGAACTACAATAGCACCAACGATTAACGCCCAAAATATTGGCGAAAGAGCAACACAACGTGAAGATGATCCAATTGAAAACAATGTAAAAAAGAGGATATCATCTATTCCGCTAATTGATGGTGATGATGGATAAGCAACTGCTTGGATAACATTACTTAACATATCATTTGAGATAGAATCACTTGTAGAACCAAATGGACAGAACGTATTTGCTGCACAATTGATACAAGTTGCTATTGTAAGATTAGTTCCATCATTTTTTGTTCCTGCTGGACAAGGTATACATCGGCCAATACTTGTAGTATTCTTGTATGTACCAGGAATACATGGTAATTGTGAAGAGAATGCAGGTACAATTTGTTGACTTGGACCAACTGTTGAAGAATAATATCCAGTGGGAGCTGGCAGAATAACAAAGAGACCACCTTGATCATCGAGAAGAATTAAATTGTCTGGAGTCGTAATAATATTGAGAAAAATAGACGACATATAACTATAGAGAGGTTGTTGAATATTTGGAAAAATTGAAACTGGAGTCGATGTATTCGTTAATGTACTGCCATAGATATAGATTTTTGAAGAACTCCAAACATAATTTGTTGAATACACATTTACAAGAATAGCAAAACTATTGAGAGTATAACTAAGCCAAGCAACACCTTTACCAAAGCCAATTGCTTG